GTTTCATCATCATAAGCATCATCATCATCATCATCATCATCATCAGCATCAGCAGCAGCAGCACCACCACAATCATAATCATCAGCCCCATCATCATCATAATCAGCATCAGCATCATCATCATCATCAGCACCATCATCATCATCATCATCATCATCATCATCCTCGTCGTCATCATCATCATCATCGTCATCGTTCTCGTCATCATCAGCATTACCGTCATCATCCACCAGCATCCACATCAGAATCAACATCACCATCACGATTAGCATCATCGTCACTCTCATGATCGTCCTCCTCTTCCTCATCATCATCATCGTCCTGGTCCGCATCATCAGCCTCATCATCTGCAGCATCATCGTCATCATCGTCATCAGCGTCAGCATCATGATCATCATCGGTCGTCGTCATCTACCTCAGTACCATAAACATCAGCATCAACATCACCACCACCATCACCACCACCATCTTCATCACCACCAATCACCACCACCGCCACCATCAGCATCACCATCACCATCACCATCACCATCGTCATCGTCATCGTCATCGTCATCATCATCATCATCATCATAAGCATCATCATCATCATCATCATCATCATCATCATCATCATCATCATCATCATCATCATCTACATCATCTACATCACATCACATCACATCACCGCCACCACCACCATCAACATCATCACCATCACCATCACCGTCATCACCATCATCCTCATTGTCGTCATCATCATCATCATCGCCGTCGTCATCCGTAGCGCAATTCCAATGCGTTCGCCCGATCCATGTCGGCACACCCTTGCCACGCTTCGTGGAAGTAGGTAGCTCCACAGAGTGCCTCGGCGGCGCAGCTCACATGCGTCCGCCCGATCCGTTCCGGTACACCCATCACACGTTTCGTGGCCCCATCGGGAGCTCCACCGAGTGCCTCTGTGGAGGAGCTTTCATGCGTTCGCCCGGCCTGGCACACCCATCACGCAGTTCGTAGCCCCATAAGGGAGCTCCACCAAATGCTTCCGTGGCGCAGATTGGTTGCGTCCGCCCGACATATTTCGGCACACCCCTCACACGGTTCGTGGCCCCATAGGAAGTCCACCGAAGGCCCGAGCGGCTGCATTCGCATGGCACCGCCGTACCCGTATTGGCACACCCCTCACACGGCTCGTGGCCCCCAAGGTAAATCGACCGAAGCCGGTACAAAAAAGCGGCGCTCTCAACTGCAAATAGTTAGGTCCGTCGTAACAATAATGAACGGCCCCTGGACCTAAAAATGGTCAGGAGCTGGCCGTCGCGATTTGTGTTGCGTTAGAAGCGTTTGTCGCATGTTTCGCAGATGCGGCCGTTACCAGCCGCGCCCCCCCCTCAGGTAACATCACGTTTCGCGCAGGCGCCGTGTGGTACTGGCACTGGTCTTGGTGGAAGGGGATGTAGGCCGGGGGGCCTCCCTTCGCCTCTCCAGCAACACCCAGGTCCCGGCCCCCAAACCCCAGAGCAGTAGAGGTGAGGGGGCAGAGAAGACCGGGGGGGACAGAGGCGGAGAGGTCCTTGGGGAATCAAGAACGAGAGCCCCATACAGGGGATATCGACCAACAACCTTGTACCATGATGGCACAACAACGAGATATCCAACCTTGCGGCGCCCGTCCTGGAAGAACATGCCGATGATAGAGGCACACGTGGGAAATCGAATATTGGCACGCTTAAGTCCGAGGAGCACGGCGACTGGCGCGCAGCACGCCCTGTGCACACACGCGCCCACACACACACCCACACAAACACATGTGCACACACGCCACACACACATGAAACAAACGTCCCCGTACGCGCACCCCTCCGCATGCGAATATCGTAACATGTAGTGCCCACAACCTCGGCCTCTCGTTCCGACTGGCTCGCCCGTCAGCCAGGACAGGGGTTCAAGGCCCCTCGTCGCCAGGGGTTCAAGGCCCCCCTCCCCTAGGAGACGGTACAAGGCCGCCTCCCGGCGCAAATGGGAGACCCGCGGACGGGCGACGACGACCCAGCTGACAGGCGAACCCAGCGGACGGACGGCGGCACACGTGCTCCCTTGCAGACGCGAAGCACCCTCGGAAGGCCCTCTTCCCCCCCGCCTCCCCTCCTTTCCCTCCCCCCACCCCCCAACCTCGGACAGTCCAAGAGACGGAAAGGGTCGAGAGCCCCAGCTGGGTGCTCGTGGCACCCGCGCAACAGCAAGGAGAGACACCGTAGGATCCGCGGGGCCTGAAGCCAAACCCGCATACCGGGTACGCCGGCTCCCGGTGATCAGGCGGCAGCCGGCCTCACGCTACCGTACGTACGGGGGGGACTCCTATGCTAGGAATCCGAACCGCCCCCGCACATACATGGCAGCGAGCCGTGCCCTCCCGCCCCACGCGGGTTTCGAGCCGACCCAAAGCGGTGTGAAAAAACGAATGTCGCAGAAAGGACTCCCTGGGCCGGGGAGGCAGGTCCACACCGCAAACACGCGCAAGGCCACACGGGGCGACGAGAGGGGTCGCCCAGGCCGAGGGGAACCCAGCCGCCCCCCCGCCGTGGGGTTGGCCGCCCCCGGGGCGCCGACCCAAAACCACGCGTTCTCTGCCGCCAGCCCCCTCGAGCGCCCCAGGGACGTTACCCGCGGCCCAGCCGGGTGGCTTGGGCACATTTGGGCCTATGGTGGCGCCAAACCAGCACAACGCTGCACCCCAGGCGCAGGAGGATTGCTCCCGTCCGACTCGGCGGTCTATGGACGTGCCTGCGTGGTTGGCGGCCACACCCAGCACCGCGGCCCCGGGAGCAGGGCGTAGGCCGGTGACAACTACGGGCGCGCCCCCCGACACCATAGCAAAGGCTGGACGTGGCATTTGTTCCGAGGATCCAAAACGCTGCATGGAGCAACCCAGACGCGAGACCCGAGACCCAGCACGCACCAACCCAGCACACATACCACGCCGCGCAAACACGCAAGCACATAAGTACACGCCAGGCACATGCAACACACAAGCGCACGCACACGCGCGCAAAAACTATCAACCCTTATGTTGCCACTATCAACCCTTACGTTGCAAATATTCGTAGTTCCGCCGTGCCGCAGGCGCCGTGTGGAAATGCTAGGAATAGCGAAAGACAGCGCGGATGGCAAATACCTGTGGGGATCTGCTACGGCAGAGCGCGCGTACATATAAGGATCTGCTACGATAGAGCGTTTCCCTTTTCCTTCTCCTCCTATTCCTCGTTCTCCTGATCGTCCTTGTCGTCGTCGGCGTCGTCGTAGTTCTCCTCGTCTGGACGTCCTCGTTTTCGTCATTAAATTGCAACGCGTTCCATGCGGAGGCAACAAAAAGAGGGAGGTAGTTGAGAAGAGTGAGTGGACGAGGCAGGCTGGCCAGGCCAGGCCGAAATTACCTGTTTGATTGGAATTCTGCGATCGTATGATGTTATGATGTGCGTGGGCGCTCGAGGGACCGAGACGGGGAAGTGGCCCCGTCGTCGTCGTCGGCGACGGCCACTCCTGTTCTCTCCCTCATACAACTCCTCTGATTGTCCTATTATTCCCCATTGCGTTGGGGGAAGCTCGGAACGGCGTAAACCCATGAAATACACGCGCCGCAAACACCGCAGCACACACGATATATTTCAGATCGATAAAATCAGCATGTTTCCGCGCCCCCCCCCGAAACATTCAGCGGCATGATGTCTCTCCGTGTGCAAACGCGCTCTGTAACCAGTCGAGGTTACAGCGCTCCCCGAAACAATTATAGACAGAGAGCCGACGGTGTGATGTCTCTGCCTGCGCAGGTGCGCTCTGTAACTGACCACTGATGGTTGCCGCCCTTGGACGATTTGCCTGGACGACTGCTGCCCGTCTTCCTGAAGCGGCAGCACACCGAGATGCACACGATGATTCGCACCAACAAACATGTTGCAAGACATAACCGGCGGCCCCTAATTGAGGCCTCCAGGCTGCGAGTTTTTTTTCCTCCCGCAAACACCCACCAATTTCAGCATCACCTCCGATACCGTAGTCATCAATCCGCTTCCCCTCAATGGGGGCTATAACAACACCCATCGGACACGTACGGCAGTGAGGCTCTTCAGTTCGTGTCGTGAGGCCCCCGGGCTGCGAGTACATGAGACCCTCAGCTCGGACGAGGCAGAGCGCACGCCCTGCGAGCACCAGTGGCCCGCAAGCACCACAGCATATGCCTGGCCAGGAGCGCCGGCAGCACGAGGGCAACGACACGAGGAGCGGGCAGACGACGACGACGAGGCCGCTCCCCGTCTCGGGCCACACCCGGACCCCTCCCGGAGCACGCACCGACAGCAGAAGTGCAAAAGTGCCATCAAACAGGTCGTGTCTCGGCCTGGCCCCGCCTCTCGCGCCCCCCCTCCCCCCCTCCTCCCAGATCTCCCTCCCCCCTTCGTCCGCCCTTGCATGCAGCACCCTCCCCTCTTCGTCAGTCCTCCCCCCTCCCTCCTCCCAAATCTCCCTCCCCCCTCCCATCTCCCTCCCCCCAGTGACGGCCCTTATCGCCCTGGGAACAGCAAACGCCCTGCCTGGATCTGGCAGCGAGGATCGGCGCTCCTGGGCGTCCCCAGAGGCCCGCGGAGGCCTCCGTCGGGCCACCCAGCTCCGCGCCTGGCGCTCCGCGAAGGCGCGGCTGCCGTCGCGCTCTCGCGCGCCCAACGCAGAGAAGGGCAAGGCTGCCGTGGCCGGAGTTCATGCGCGCCCACCGCCCAGGGAAGCGATCTCCAGGACCCCAAGGGGCGGTGGCTCAAGCCATTTTGGCTCAAGCAGTCCCTGTTCAAGCCCGAGGCTGTTGCGACGGTTGTGCGCACATACCTGATTATAACTCTTCTGTTCTGTCTGCCCGGAGTGTACACAGCATAATTGGGAATATGGCGAAACGCGGGGGAACCGCGACAGGCTCGACACCGGATAAAAAGACAGGACGCCTAGATAAAGACATGAAACAGCTTGAGGATACAAACATGGAAGATGGGTATCTCAGCGAAGCCCCACCATGGTTCAAGGAATTTCTCAAGATCCAGGCAAAACAGTTCGACTCGTTGAAGGAAGAGGTGACCAGCATAAAGGGCGTGATTGACCAGGCGAGGATCGAGGCTCAGGATGCAAGGAAGGCAGCGGAGGAGGTTCAGGAGAAGATGGAGGATGTGGAAATGCAGGTGGAAGGAATTCGGAATGACCTGGAGGACCTTTACTTAACAAAAGAGCAAATCGAGCAGATGATCGACAGCAAAGTGCAAGACGCTAAGGACAACATCAACAACAACAGTGACCCCCCCAGGAGCGGTGCATGGCAGCGTAATGGGACGGAGGGAGGGGGAAAGGCAGATGCAGAGAAGCATATACGGGATAAGCAGGTTGTTGCCTTTGGCTTCGATGGGAGCGGTTCGGCAGAGCAGGTGGTGGAGGATCTGAAAAACTTGCTCAACCAGATTGTGGGCGAAAGGTCGGGCGCAGTTGTGCTGACCACGACGGGCTCCACGAAGTTCGGCGTAATCGAGTTCACTTCCATCCAATCGAAGGTAAGCTTCTGGAAGAAGGTACGGGACAAGCTGAACGACGACGAAGATGCGTTCGGCGAGGTGTTCTTCCGGAACAACCTGACCACCGAGGAGAAGGACCGGGAAAAACGGATGGGCTATACAAAGTACCATTTGTCTAAACACCCCGACCACAAAACCAAAGTTGTGAAAATCATATGGCCGAAGGGGATGGTTGTGGTCAAAGAGGGTGAGGGGAAGGAGAGGAAAATTGCGTGGTACGATGAACATGGAGACTGGCGTACTACTAAGACCGGGAAGGCGGTGGAAGCGGAGGTGGAAGAGTCCATGCGGAAGTGGCGGGAGAAGGTGAACGCCGGACCTGCCGAAGAGAGCGAGTGACGCCGCGACGGCGGCACAGGCTGGCAGAGCCAAACTGCCAACAGTACCATAACGAGCTCAGCACCTACATGGTCATGCAAAGCAGGACCCTTCACTCAGGCTTCAGAGCCGGAGAAGCCAGGAGACCTTGGGAAAACGGTTACAAAGTTACAAAACAGATTTTTGGAGAATGTCGCTCTGATGTTTTACTTTCAAGTTCAATGCAATCTCGGTCTATCGGGGGAGGTAGGGGGTCATATGCGTGTGTAGATGGAGACTTCCCTGCAGGATCCCTTAAGCCTCCCAGGAACTACTCAGCTGCAAATCCCAAGGACGCGTCGCCGACAACCCGGACAGGCGTTACGACGGGAACTTTTGTTGATGGAGATTCAGACGGACAGGCGTTACGACGGACAGGCGTTACGACGGACAGGCGTTACGACGGACAGGCGTTACGACGGACAGGTGTTACGACGGGACCGCGCACAAATGCAGGTATGGATCCTTTGTTTATGCTTATCTACACCAAAAACGTACATTCGTTGCTAACCACGCTTCGGGAAGAGGAGTTGTTTATGGAGCTGCAGTGTGTCGAATGGGACGTGGTTCTACTTACTGAAACGTGGCGCGATAAGAGACAAGAAAGATGGAGGAATGGGGATGGTCACATGTTTTGTGGTTCCGGCGGACTGCGGGGACAAAGCGGGACAGGGATATTACTACATCGACGGTGGACGCGGGGATTCCGTGCTTTCCACCCAGTCTCCGACAGAGTCTGCGCATTAGACGTTCGCATTTCCAACAAAAATGTCAGATTTTTTTGTGTGTACATGCCGCATTGTGGATACGACGACGAGGATGTAGAGGCGATTTATTTGCATCTTGATCGATTGGTACGCGGGGCCCGGCGGAAAAATATAATGTGTTTATTACTTGGTGACTGGAACGCTACAGTTGGCACACGCAGCACTGGAGATGACGAGCACATTGTTGGAGAGTACGGAGTGGGATGCCGAAACGACCGGGGACACTGGTTAGCTGGATGGGCAAGCACACATCAACTTACTATCACAAATACGATGGTAAACAAGAGCTTCGAAGACCAATGGACGTACCAGAATGATGGCATCAAGCGGCAGCTGGACTACTGCTTGGTGGATGCACGGCGCACGCATCTCATCAAGGACGCGGCGGCGAGCGATGATGTGATTCTTGGACAAGACCATCGTGCTCTCAAGGTCACTTTGAAGTGGGATTTTCAGCCGGAAGGGGACATGAGCAAGAAACGACGGTCTCATAGGCGAAGCTTCCGGAGATGGAGGCCGAGAGACGAGGAGGAGTACCACAAACAGCTTGATGCGCAGTTGGCGCCCCTAGCAGCGATCGACAATCCCAGCCAGACATGTTCCGAGATCGAAGATAGATGCCGTCAAATTGAAAATGTACTGCTTGACGTTGCGGAGGCTTGCGATGAGAGGGAACAGTTCCAGGCTCTAGAAAGCGAGACTGCAAGGAAACAGCTCCATACTTTGATTGCGCAACGGCGGTCAGCAAGACAGAGCGGAAACAAGAACGAGGTGAAGAATGCGAGTAAGCTGATTCGTAAGGAGATCCGTGCAATGGCCAGGGCGCGGAAGAGTTCCAGGATAACGCAAGTTTTGAAAGAGTTGGAAGATTTGCAGCGGATCCAAGGTATACGTAACAACGGAAAGAAGTATTGCATGTCTTCGGTCCTAGACGCCGGGGGCAAAGAGCAGACGCAAGCACGAGATATAGCTGAAGTGTTTGCTGCATTTTTTGAATCTTTGTACAATGGCAAAAGCGACGTATTTCGATGTGATGCTACTTGCGATCGTGCTGCTGCTGTCACGCCGGAGGAAGTGCGCCGCCAACTGAAGAAGACGCGCGGGGGCAAGGCTGCAGATGAAAACGGCTTGGTGGCTGAACTCTTGTGCAAAGGGAGCGAGCTGTTGATGCAGATGATAGCAGGCGTCTTCACGGCTGTATTGGACCCGGGGGCCACCGTGCCAGCCTACTGGAAGGCATCCTCAATCAGAGTCCTTTTCAAGAAAGGGGACGAACGTCTACCAGGGAATTACAAACCAATATGCATTATTCCAATATTGTATAAGCTTTTCAGCAGAGTATTGTGCGGAAGGATCAAGGACAAGCTTGTTGCGGAGCAGTCTGTCGACCAAGCTGGTTTCAGACCGGGCTTCAACTGTGACGACCATTTATTTGCAGTCACATTACTAGCAGAAAAATGTAATGAATACAACATGCCGCTGTGGATTGCGACGCTGGATTTTAAAAAGGCTTTTGATTCCATATCTCATTCGAGCATTTGGGAGTCTTTGGTGGCTCACGGAGTACCGTCTGTCTACGTATGCATGCTCTCCAGACTGTATAGCGGGCAACGGGCGCACGTCAACTGCGACGTCACGAGCCGCGACTTCGACATCTTAAAGGGGACGAAACAAGGCGACCCCATAAGTCCGGTTATTTTCAACTGTGTGCTGGAGGAGGTAATGCGCGAGGTGAAAACACATTGGGCTGCCAGAAAGTACGGCGTGCAGCTTGGTTACACAGGACATTCTGTTTTAACCAATTTGAGGTTTGCAGATGACATTTTGCTTGTCGGCCGCTCCCTACCACAGCTCAACAAAAATGATTGCGGACGTGAAGCGAGAGAGTGCGAAAGTCGGGCTGGAGCTCCACCCGGACAAGACGAAGATGCAGCACAACAACATTGGTTATGGCAGCAAAGTCAGATTGGCGGTGGTAGAGGGGATGAATATCGAAGTCATGGAGCCCACGGAAACCAATATGTATTTAGGCAGGGCGCTTACGCTTCTGGCCGTCCACGACGCTGAGCTGACGCACCGACTGAAGAGGGCGTGGGCTAAGTTCGGCACCTTCAGGCACGAGCTGACTGACAAAGCAGTGCCGATTAGTCTTCGGATGAAGCTTTTCCATTCCGTGGTCACCCCGACAGCGCTGCATGGTTGCGGCAGCTGGGTAATGACAGCGGAACGAGATTCAAAACTGAAAGGGACACAGCTCAAAATGGTCCGGGCTATGTTGGGGCGGGGACGAGTGTACAAGCAGGACGGGGACGTGGAGACATGGGTAGATTGGGTACAGCGTGTGACGACGGAGGCGCGCCACTGGATGGAGGAACACCACGTGCCCTGCTGGACGGAGGAGCGCCGATCCGGGCTGCAGGGCTGGAGCGAAAGACTCAATGGCATGAGCTACGACCGGTGGGCCCGGCGAGTCCACGACTGGACACCTGACGGGCGGAGAGCCCGCGGGCGCCCTCTGACACGATGGGCTGACCAATTCCGCTGAGCCCGTGAGGGCACGTAGCCGCGCGAGCGCGCAGCTCGTTTTCAGCGACCGTTCCGTTCCGTTCCGTTGGGCCCCCAGGGGGACCAGAGACATCCACATCCACTGCCCCGCCGGGGGAGATGTACAGAGAAGCAGGTGAGGGTGAAAGTTGGAGATTCCATGAAAGCGGGAGTGGCCAGGGCTCGGAAACAGGCAGGGGCCGAAACGAGCCCCGAACAACTGGGATGAGGCCGCCAGGGCTGGAGAAACGACATGAAAGCTGACAAGGGCTGGAAAGAGTGGGAAGCCTGGCCTGGCCCACCTCTCCCAGCTTCCATGTGCAAACTACAGCATCGGAAGCTCTCCGCTTCCGCGCGACAGACGCGATAATCTTCGCACCCCTGCGGGTGACCTACAAATCGTTCCCCTTGCAACGCCACGCGTCAGAAGGGAAATCTGGTCATTTAGCCGGAGACTTCACCACATGTTGCCGTGGTCCTCACAATCTGGGCCGATTCGAGCCGCGTCCTTGTGACCCTGGAATCGTCCCTGGCATCGGCCCAACACCAGGGGGGAGAGGCTCGGGGGAGGCTGCACCAACCCCCATCGCCCACTCATCGCCCAAAGGAGCCCGGCAACCCACCCCACCAAGGAACGTGTGGAGTCGCTGTCGGAGGCCCATGGCCGATCCATCGGCGATGCATCGCCGATTCCCACGTCGATGTGTCCTCTCCTGCCCCTCTCGGCCCCCGTGAACTGCTGAAGCCCGGGCGAAGCCGGCGAGGAGGCACGGCACCAGGCGCCGAGGGAGCTGCGGGCGAGAGGACCGCAACAGGGGCCTGCCGCACACGGGCGCGCCGCCCGCTGGCGACGACTTCGACAGCCTCAAGGACCTTCGACGGCCTGAGGGCCTCCTCCTCCTCCTCCTCCTCCTCCTCCTCCAACTCCTCCTCCTCCTCCTCCTCCTCCTCCTCCTCCTCCTCCTCCTCCTCGACCTCTTCGCGTCGCGAACAAAACACGACGCAAGGCTTTTCGCAACTTTCGGCCTCTGGGAGCCATTCACGGAATTCGCGGCCGTCCAAAAACTGGCCCGTGTGAACAACCGGTGCCAGGGAAGGGGGCGGAGGCGGCGGCGGCGGCGGCGGAGGAGGCGGAGGAGGAGGATGAGGAGGAGGAGGAGGAGGAGGAGTAGGAGGAGGAGGGAGGAGGAGGAGGAGGAGGAGGAGGAGGAGGAGGAGGAGGAGGAGGAGGGACCCGCCCCAAGAGGTCCCCGGAGGCCTGCATCGATCTACCCCCCGGAGCAGCTGCGCAGAGGGGAAGCTGCAGGCGCTCCGAGACCATCTCTCGCTCGGGAGCGGCCCAGAGGGGGGTGTCCAAGAGGGGGGGTGCAGATCATGAGCGGCGGCATGTGCGCGGCCCAGCGGGGGGCCAGGGACGTAAGGAAATAAGAAGAGGCGCCATGAAATCCGAGGAGATATCATGCCCCCCGCCATGATATCCACCCCCCCCCTAGTCATCACCCCCTTCTTTTCCGCCCCCGACTCACTGCATCGACCTTGCAGACGTGCTGTAGCGGGTCTTTGCGCGGATTTCTACCAATGCAAAGCCCCGAGACGGCGAGCGAAAAGCGAAGTGAAATTCACATGGACGTTTCGTAATCTTCAGTCCTGGCCCCAAAAAGTCCAAACGAA